ATGCTGCCGCGTCTTCACTGCACGGCCAACTTCAGCCGAGCTCACCTTGCAGTCGCCTGTGTTCCGAGCCATTCTGCTGAGGCGGCTGCGCATGCCCGTCCCGCTCACCGCAGGCAGATGCCGCTGCCGCCAGCCACATGATGCATGCGGTGACCACCTTGCGGCTTGCCCGCACTCCGGTGTGTTGCGCTCGCGTGGCGGCCCCCTCGAGCGAGCTTCGGCGCATGTTTGCAGGGAGGTCGGGGCGACAGTTGCCACACGTGTGCTGGTGCGCGACCTCAATGTTGCCCCCGCTCGGCCGGACGAGCTGCGCATTGAAGTCATTGCTAACGGCCTGCCTTTGTGGGGTGGAGCGCAGCTCGCTGTCGACACAACCCTGGTGTCGCCCCTTTCGGCAGCTGGGATGCCACGCCATGACAGAGGCATCACATGGCATTACTGCCGGTGCCGCTTTAAGGGTCGCTGAACGCGCCAAGGCACGGACTTATCCCGAACTCGCGCAAGGCAATCGGTGCCGATTGGCCGTCCTCGGCATTGAGGTTGGGGGGCGGTGGTCCCCAAGGGGCGTTGAGTTCGTCAGACTGCTGGCCCGAAACCGAGCTCACGCTGCCCCCATCGCCACACGGGCAGCGACCGCATCTGCGTTCGCCTTGCGCTGGTCCGCGCTGCTGTCCTTCGCTCCTTCTCTTTTTGCCGCTGTCTGGCACTGCCAATGTCGACGGAAAGGCCCCCTCCTGAGTGATGTCCTCGCTGACTCTGCTGAGCCGCCACCCATCGCCAGACACCTCCACTGAGCGTGCATTCCCATGCCTCCGCCTTGGACTTCACCTTCACTGCCGTAGGGCGTCGCCCTGACTTGGGCCTTCTGCGCTGGGACAGCGTCCTGGATTGTCGCAGAAACAATATACGTTTTTTTGTCAGAGGAATTCATCCAGAACGGTGCCGACATTGATGTCACAACCTCACAATGAAAGAATGCCTTGCATGCATGGCAGGTGCAAGGCAATCCTTGCTGGAGCAAGGCGTTCATGTTGACCATAACGACAATCGCTGTCGCTGCCCAGCGTGCTGTCGCCTCTGAACCCGGTGCTGCGGGCGAGC